TCTACCATAGGTATTACAAAGTCTAAATGTCCCTCAAATTGCACTTTAACTACATCCCACACTCTTAGAAATAGATATATTTCTATTATTATAAAATGTTTTATAATCACTTTTATGGTTTATTTTACAACCTATGCATATTTAGTAGTAGTTTGCAATTTAATTTCCCAATGCACAGGGGACATTCTGGTTATTTTTCATTATTTTCTAACAGAATTCCATTATGGTGAGAGAATATATTGCTTATGAGTGCCATACATGTAAATGTTTATAATTTCAAATATTTTCTTTCCTAGTAGTATTTCCCCTAGGTCTCTCTCTTGCTCTCTCTCTCTCTCTCTCTCTCTCTGTGTGTGTGTGTGTGTGTGTGTGCCTTGGTGTTTTGGAGACAGGTTTTACAGCCCAGCCTCGCCTGTAACCATATAATAGCCTATGGTTAGCCTCAGTATGAACACCATTTGTTTATAATGTGGAATTGTTGTGGTTGGTTTTAAATCTAGAGTCTTGCAATTTGTTTTCTGTTTATCTTAATAGTTTTTAGTTTTTGGCCCCCTTTTTGTTTAATTCATTTATTTTTTGTTTTCTTTAATGGAGAATTTTTTAAAATTATTTTGTTTTATCTCATTTGTAGCCTTCTTATATTTGTAACATTTTTAGTGATTGCCTTATCACTTTTAGCATTTATCTTCAACTTTTCACAGTTCACCATCAACTAATATAAATAATACACAAACTTTACAATAGTATGCTTCCATTTCCATTACTGTTGGCCTTGTGCTATTGTTGGCTGCATTTTGCTTTCACTTGTAATAAGTTATAAATGTACTGTTACTATTTTTGCTCTAGCTAATCAGTTATCTTTTAAAGATAATTGTTAAATATTTTATACTTATTGATAGATTTATCAATGTGATTTTCAATGTTATTCATTCCTTTTTTGTGTAATGAGGTTTCTATGTTTGTGTACATTATGTATATAATATCTTGCATTATTTTCCTTTTTCTTAAAAATATTCCTTTAACATTCCTTCTAATGCAGGTCTCTCTTTTTTTTTTAACTTTTTGAGATAGGGTCTCTCTGTAGTCCCAGATAATCTTGAACTCATTATGTAGACTAGAGTGGCCTCCATCTCACAGATGGCCTGTCTCTGCCTCCTGAGTGCTGCATTACAGGTGTGCTCCACTATGCCAGGCAGCTTAGTGCTTAATTATTTTAGTTTTATGTATCTGATGTCTCTGAAATATGTATGCACACATGCATGTAAGTGCACTCATGTTGTTCAGTGCCCACAGAGGACAGAAGAGAGTATTGGATCCCCTGAGATACCATGAGAGTGCTAGGATTCAAACCCAGTCTTCTGCAAGAGAAGCCAGTGTGCTCTTAACAGCCATCTCTCCAACCCCTATTTTCACTTTTGAAAACAGAGTTCTATCATTATTTCTTCCACTATTTTTGGCCACCCCCCTCTTTCATGACTCCTACTAAAACAATACTGGGCTATTTCAGGTTTTATGTTTTCATTTCCCTTGCTGCTGATCTCTCTCTCTCTCTCTCTCTCTCTCTCTCTCTCTCTCTCTCTCCTCTCTCTCTCTCTCTCTCTCTCATACTTTAGATATTTTCCTTTGCTATAAGTTTAAGTTCACTAATCCTGAATGTATTCTATAAAATCTCTAGATGCTCTGTCCATGATAGTACCTTATAGATCAGTAGGTCTTCTGTATAGTTTCTCAACTGTCTTTATACCTTTTTCAACCTTTATACCTTTTTGTTTTAATGGTGACAGGTATTATTCTGTCTTCTGTTACATTTTTAGCTCTGTTTCTATTATTTTTC